GCGGTCTGCCCGCGCGGGGGCAGTTGCGTGCGGCCCCATGGGGCCGAGCGCTCCGCGTGTTCGCGGGCCTCCGCCGGGGCGGGTGACTCGTACCGCGCCTTGAGTCGGGCTTCGGTTGAGGGCAGGGCGAAGAGTCCTTCTGGAAGTGCAGAACCCGGCGGGTGCACTGCCAGTCACGGCCCTTCACCTCGGGGGGAATCCCAGACATGACTTCCACTGTGCTTAAGTGTCAAAAAGGTTTATTCCGTCAGTGGAGAGTCTGTCGCTAGGACAGGTATACATAACGGCCGCTTTAAAGACGGATGCACAAATTCTGACCAGTGTCATCGGTGTTGCATTGCAGTTTATTTCCAGATCAGGCTCCTGGGTCTTTAAAGTTAGTGATTTGCCTATTACAGTGGTCATTTTATTCTGTATTTGGATTTGCCTGGTAAACGCAGAAACAGAAGAATTTGCAGTTACTTGTAATTTACCTTAGGCTGTCAGAACTCTTTAAATGTTTACAGTACAGGTGACTGCTGAGCTACTAAAGGATGCAGGGAGTCCAGTTTATATGATCAAGCATTGAAATTACTGTTCAAATATTTTTAAAAGCCTTGCATGTTCTTTAGTGAAAAATCGGTTTTCATGTAGTGTGTCAGTTACCCCTAAAATACACTCATAGGAATGACTTGTGGCATATATTAGAGTGAGTAAAGGTGTGTAACACTCCAGTGGGAATAAATATTTTTGAGTCTCATTTCAATGTCCTTCCAGATACACATACCCAGTTTTCAGAATAAATGGAAAATTCATCTCAATAGTGTGTTATGTCAGAAGTGAGAAGGCTCTGTAATTAAGTATTCATTTTCGACGGACTACCTTAAAATACAGATGTACACAAAGCCATTGTTGTTACATATTTCAAGCTTGATTTTACAGTAGTGCTAGTACATGTTATGAATTTTAGCTTGTATTGTTCAAATCTAAATTAAGAATTCCTATATTTACCGCATCTTGTGTGAAGTGAGCCCCTGTTGTTTCCATAACTGATCTTTGTGAGTATTTCATGATAAATGTGGGTATTGAAGGAAATAACTTCCCACAGCAGTCACATATCTCTTACAGTTAATTTGTTTTGTTTCTTCCTTTTCCTCCGTTTCCTTTTGGTGAGCTTTATTGTTTTGCATATTTTCTTAGAAAAGACCAAACTAATACTTTCCTATGACAGTTGTAAAATTAATCTCCAAAAACACATAGCCAAAAAACATTTTGTTTCTTAGGGCATCAAGTTGTCAGCAGAGGTCAAACACTTCCAAAACATGTGGCAGTAACTGTGACATGGTCAGAACTGGTAGAAGCACATGTCTTTCCTAGGTACTTAATTACATGCTACCCATTTATCCAGGAACCCTCTTTGGTATGTGTATTTTCTGAACCTTACTTCTTGGACAATTTTAACCTTCCAGTTTCGGACATTGAATACTCTTACAAAGTCAAAGCTCTGATACATGAATATTGTAGCTGTAGAAAAACTTGTGTGTTGTCTTCATGATTTAGGTTTTTGCATTTGTGTTTTTTGGGCATACGTCTGGTACTTTGTCTCTTGCTCCAAAGGCCTGTATTGTTACAGAGCACTCGGGAGGGTTTTTTGGTCTGTAGTGATTGATCTGGCTCGTTTGTGCTTTGGAAGGAGCTGAATCCAGTCCTTGGGTGAAAGAGTGGTTGCATTATGATAAGGCCAGAGTAAATATAGTCATATAAAAGGAAGAGCCTCCAAGAAAGTTTCTATAACATTTGGGCTTCATCCTGGATCACTTCTTCACAACCTGTGAATCTCCAGAAAGACATTTTTAGTAAGAATGCTACAGGTTTCTAAAGGTTTTTTTCTAATGAGAACGAAATAAAAAAGGCATTTGTGGTAGACTTATAAAAGTATTGTTAACCCCAGAGCAAGCTATAAAAAAGCCTACATAGTAAGATAGGAAATAATTGAGTCTTGTAAAAAATTTCTGATGTTACATCATTCTCTTAGTTGTTTCTCAGCTTCTCAGAACTCTTAAGCATTGGATTAACTTTGCAATTACTGCACAGTTATTGGTATGTACTAACAAGTCCAGTTAGAGCCTTAACAAACACATTCATTGTAGGTCTTTGTTTTATCCTATAGGAAATCTCACTATTTTCAACCCATTTTGATTTGTAATAGAAATTTAACATTGAGGTGAGTGTGGCCTGGTCTGTGCATTAGAAAAAACACATCATTGGCATTAAACTAGCATTATAAAAACAAACAGCAAAGAGCGGCAGTATTCTGATGAATTTTTTGCCTTGTTGGGACTGAGCCATAGATATTTTTTCCTTATTTGTTACTTTTCTTTGTGTGTAAACTAGGACGTAAGAGTTGTTTTGTCTGTAGTCTATCAGAATTGCAGTGTTTTAGCTGAAGTCTCATGTTCTAATGGGAAATTCTGTTTCATGTTATCTACCTAAGATTCAGAGGTTGACCTCTTCATGGTGATCAGCTTTAAAAACTAAATGAGACTTTCTTAAGCTGAGAAATTACTTTTCTTCCTAGTCAAATTTGGATCTTGGCCTATAGGTTCTGTACAAAGTGTAGGAGGAAATTGGAAGGGAACTTTGAGTATACATTTGGAGGAAAAAGACATGCTGCATGCATATTGTGTTTTCATAAACTATGGTGATTGTTTAATATTATAATTCTGTATTGCATTTCATACATGTCTTACACCCCATAAGATGCTATACTCCTACTTTTAAAGACAGGTTTAACTCTTTAATGTTTGGGTTTTTTAGTCAAGTATATAATGTATGTCATGTAGCTGTACTGCACTTCTAGTTTGTTTCACAAGAAACAGTCTGCTGAAAATAAGTACAAATAATCTTGATAACCTCAAACAGAAATGAGGACTGTAACTGCAAAGCAGACTAGCTTCGAAACTCAGAAATAGATTAACATCCATGTTTTAAAATATTTGCTAAATTGCATGTTTTCCCAAACCAAATTTAATTATCTTTTAAAGTCTATAGCAGTGAATAAATAGTTAATTAAAGTAATATGGAATAGTTTTCTTTTGAAATATACCTTTCTTGTTAAACAGATTCTTCAGCCAAGAAATAATATGTTTGTCTAGGCCACATGTATATGCTGAAGATTTGCACTGGGATGACTTCTCATCTCTTTCTTAATGTGCATCACATAGTGTTTGGGGAGATCCTGCCTTCTGTGAATACTCCAGTTGCTATTACGGACCTGATGTTGTTTCAAATGTATATTCAGTAGCTGGCTCATAGTATCATTATGACAACTCAACACACTAATGGTTTAGGAATAGTCAGAGAATCTGCTGAACAAATGTATCCAATCAGACAAGAAAGTAAGAATCTTTCAAAGGTGAGCAAATATGTTTTTTTAAAATTAAAAATTATTATTTTAAATCACTCTAAATGTTTGGTTCATTTTTTAAACTGAATAATCACTCTGTGTTCTTGTAGTGATAATGAATGATATTTAAATTGGATGGTAGTAATGTACCCAACTTCAGAATTCAAAAAAGTTCATGGAATTCTACAGTTCAAACTATTGTTTTTCAAGCAGTATTTTTGGAACATGAGAAGAATGTATTTTTCTTTCCTCAGAAGGCATCATCTGGGGGGGGGAAAAAAAAAGACCATTCATTTCTGAACTGTGCTTTCCTTTGTTCATTATTTGGGCTTGGGGTGAAGGGGGAAGGGCTTTTTTTGAGCCTAGTGGCAGTTTCCATGAACCTGAGTTAAGAGAGACCTGATGGCTGTAATCAGCTGTGTGGGTGATAATTGATGAGGCCACATCTGTCTTGAAGGATTTCCAAGACCTGTTACAGGTAGAAAACAATCCACAAGAGAGGAGGAAGTTGTTCTGGTCTGGAGTGCGAAGAAAGGTTTATGTTGGAAATCTCATTCTGTCAAAAGTAAAATGGTTCTTCAGTAAACATCTTCTGTCTTTGTGTGTGTGTGCCTATTTGAGGATAAATTTTGTAAAACTTGGATAGTATTTTCTTACAAAAAATAGACAAACTCTGCAAAATACAAAAATCAGGAAAAAAATCAAAGGTATTATTAACCCATTTCCCTCTGTGATTAGATATTGTGGCTCTTGGATTTGTGAGGCTATTGTTTCCAACAGGTTCAAGTTATCTGTTTTCCAGTCACATCCTTCTGGTGGACCTTACTCTCTAGGCAGAGAACTGGTAACTTCACTGTGGTCAATCCTGTATGGAGGAAATTGTAAGAGCCAGTCCTAAGCATGCATTGCTAGCCATAAGATACAAAGGCTAGACACCTAAAATTAGTCGTTTGCTTGTTGAGAGAAAAATGAAACGCTGAAGCTGTCTAGAGAGGTGATTAGCTCAATGTTAGCATAGGTGATGTAACACGAAGAAACAGTTTAGCTTCTGGGAAGAGTTCTGTGATCTTTCTAGGGGCTTGGGCTGAGTGATGTATTGTTTGATAGTCTTTTTGTCATTGTTCCCTGTCATTTATTTTTTTGTGAGCTTGAAGAGAAATTATTGATCTTCGCAGCTTTGCATTAATTTGATCCCATCTCCCAAAGCTTTAACAATTTAGCTTTGGAGGTCAGGAAGTGCCTTGCCCTCCCACCCAAGAAAATAATGTTGCTGCCAGATATACTTTGAATTTAGTCCAGCATCCTGTAATGAGAGAGAGTTAAGCCACTTGTCTAGGTTGATACAATATACTTTGCATAGATGCAAGCCTAGTGCTCATCTGACAAACTATGTTTCTCGCAAGAATCACAAGGCTTTCAGGACGCTACAGTATAGGTGAGTGTGTTAATTGCCTTTTGTCTGCTCCAAGTGTTTTGGATGTTGTGTCATCAGTCTTGGCTAGTTTTGCCCATAGTACATAGTTTGGACAAAATACTGGAATGCATTTAAGACTTTAGTCCTGTTCTAGAAGGAAGTCTGTTTTAGAAAATCAGAATGGATAATTTAAGTCCAAACAGTTCTGAACTATTGGAAATGCTCTGATTGATGAGATCTTAAAAGTACAGTTGTCTAGGAACATATTGAATAATCCCTCTTGGGCTATAATATATGCTAAAAATGGCACAGCTAACAAGGTAGATAAAATGAAGTAACAAGTCTCTAACTGGCTCTTCCTCTTTTTATTCATTATTTGCGGTATACTATGTTGTATTAACTTGATGGTCAAGGTCAAAGAGGTGGTTAACTGTAACTCAGGTTAAGGTAAACCTGATGACTTTACAAAATTAACGTAAAATCAACTAAATATGTCATAAATACTTGCAGCAGAGGAGATCAGAAGAGAGTGAGAAGAAATTAGGCAAGAAAAGGCATGATGGAAATGAGTCTTCTGTCAGAATTGTGAACAGGACTTCGTCCCAAACCTCCACATGCAGCAGAGATTCTGTGAAGCCAGGTACAAATATGTTGTTTGGTTAAAAATACATCAGATAGACATAAAATGGTTGACTGTACTGTAGCCTCCAGTTTGTGACCATGTTTCTAAGGATTTCTTTTCTGTGTGACTTTGATAAGGGGGGGTGACTTACATCTTTTTGCTTATTGAACAAATGCCAACTGATATGGAAAATTTTCCTAAGCAAGCTGAGTTTACAGTTGCTTCTTGAGTCAGTTGGTTGGTTCTAATTGCTAGTTTGTTTTTTTTTTTAATATGAACTGTGTGTAGTAATAGTTCTTGTGATGATTACTATAGTTATGCCATCTAGTGTACTATAAAACATACCTAGAAATGATCACAAGCAAGTTTAATTATGTAGACTTACATGCTTTATTCAGACAGGTTCAATAAAACTACAGACAAGAAGTCAACTCAGTCTCCAAAATCAGAGTCCCTACCTGTATCTGCTTTTGAAGCTACCATTCTGCATTTCCACAAGTCACAGAGTCTGGGAAGCAGTGAGATACTGAATGTGCAACATAAAAGTGGACCAATATGTTCAGCGGAAAGTAACATTACGTGCCTTAGTCAACCACAGATGTCTCTCTTGTTGAACACAGAGGTTAGCTGATGCTTTCATTTTGCGGAGCTCATAAAAATAGTATTTTGCATTCAGTGTGATACTTTAAGACCTGTTTTAAGTACCTTGCAGGCAAGGAGTTTCAGAGGTAGAGGTTTTACAGTTCTTTTTGTAGATGATGTGAGTGCTTGACTCACTTTTCCTTTACCCTTTCTCATTCTTTCCTTGTCTGTGCTGCCAACAGATAGGTGAAAGCCAAGTACTGTTAGAATTTAGATTAGTACTGCTATGGTCTAGACATCTAGCTTGCCTATACAGAGCACATATGTTTCTGAGGTTTCTTAACAGCTTCTTTCTTTCTCTCTCACCTGGAAATAATAAGTAAGCAGTCACTTATCCAGTAGTTTAAAAAAAAACCCCAAAACAACAAAAACAAATAACATGTAATATTGTACTTTATTGCTTTGTGCTAGAGGATAAAAATAAGAAACTGAATTCCAGAAGGAGGGGAAAATATTGTTTAGACATAAGCATTTAACTTTAGTCTTGATTTCCTTGATTCCCTATTTGTTAGTAAATACAGTACTGACACATTCAGCAGTATGTCACATATATTGAATCAGAGTTTTCAACAGTGTTTAAAGGTGAATAATTTTGAAGGATCCAAACAGCATATTTCCAGTGCCTCTGGTTGGAAAACAGCCTATGATGGAAAAAAAAATCTTTCTCCTGTCACTTGAGTTTCCTTTTTCATTGCTAGCTTGAGTTGGATCATGCTCTTTGTTTTTAATGTACTTGGAACAGTAAAGCTTTTTCTTGTTCATTCTTAGAATCGTTATTTGGATGCTTTTGCAAAATGAAGAACAAGTAAAGTCAGGTTACTAAATTCTCTACACCTTTATCTGTGCACATATTGAAGATTTTTTTAATTTAGGGGGGTTTTTATGTTTATCTCTCTTTAAGGTCCGTTATTTTAGTTCTACTTTTATGATTCCTGACTGTCTATTTTACAGGAAGATACTTCTGTGGAAAGCAAAGCTTCATCAAAAACTTTAGATGTAACAGTAGCCAGATTAATTCCGTCTTCATTTGATGGTAGAGGTAAGTGCTCCAGAAACAAATTATTTGTCTGTATTTTAACTGCTTGTATATCATCAGTTTGGAAAACTCAGGTGTTCTGAGGAGCTGTTGATGTGTAAAGTAAAAAAGGAATTAAATAGCAAACTTATTATAATATAAAAGAAAAAAAAACCACAAGTAAACCTATATCAGTTTCTTCCAAACCAGTTTCTTTCTTACAGCTCATTATGGCGAATAATTTCAGCAGCAGATCAAAACTAGGATTATCTTCCTTCTCTGTTGTTTCATTAATGCTGAAGGGCAAATGTTGCTGTAGTTGCTTCCCATGTTGTTTAAGAGGAGAGGAAGTAATGCATATTGATTCTTGGAAGTCTGTCAGGTCATTTTCAGATTTGTTTCAAGAATAAGTGAGAGGTGAGTATTTGATCAGTCTTGATAAGCAGGTTTGTTTTAAATAGCTGGCAGTCTGCAGTCTACTATGTACCTAAAAATTATTCTGTGGCATACATGATTTCTGTCAAGTCTTTTACAGAAAGTAGGATAGCTGTGCAGAACTGTGATGCTGAAATGTTTCCTTTTTTGTTTTGTTTACCTGTTGTCTGGATGTGGGGATACAAAACAATTTTAATTGCCACCAGCTCTCAGGGGGCTAGTTTCAAGTATTTAAATGTTACTGAAATACTTAAATCCAGAACTCAGCTGAAGTGCCCCGAAGGGCCTTCTAAGGGTAAAGTTATTCCAGAAACGTTTAAGTCATTTAATAATGTTTTTTTCTCAAACACCATCCTCAGTTCCTATCCCCCTGGAATAAAGTAGCCATTTGTGGTGTTTGACCTTGACTGGCTTCCAGGCTCATATCCAGCTTCTCTCTTACTTTCCCTCCTCAGCAGAGCAGGAGGGAAAAATAAGATTAAAAAGTTTGTGGGTCAGAATAAGGACAGGGAGATTGCTCACCAGTCAGCCATCACAGGCAATGCAGACTAGACTTGGCAAAGATAATTTGTTGTCAATTAAGAATAGAGTAGGATGGTGAGAAACATAAACAAAACTAAACCCACCCTACCCCCACCCTCTCTCTCCTCTTCCCAGACTCATCTTCTTTCCTTCCTTACTGAGTCTTCTACCTCCTCCCTGCCCTGAGCAGCACAGGGGGATGGGGGTTGTGGTCAGTTCATAATGGCCTCTCTGCAGGGCTGCAGGGGCACAGCCTGCCTCACCATGGACTTCTCTCCAGGGGCTCCTCCAGCACCTGGATCACGTCCTCCCCCTCCTTCTCCTCTGACCTTGGTGTCTACAGGGTTGTTGGTTTCACATTTTTTCTTTTCTCTCCCTCTCACAACTTCTGCACGGTGTTTTTTACCCTTTTGTAAATATCACATAGGTGCCACCAGCATCACCAATGGGCTCAGCTGTGCCTGGCAGTGGGTCTTGTTTTGGGGCCAGCTAGGGCTGGCAGTGTCCATCTTCTCACAGACGCTACCCATACAGCTTCCACTCACTGCCAAGACCTTGCCATGTAAATCCATTATGCTATTCAATTGTTCAACTAAAGTTTTTCTCATTCTTTAAGAAGAATTTAATTTTGTTCTGTATTTGCTGTGTGTAAGGAATATTTAGAAATAATTGTGAGCTCTTTCAAAACATTGATACCTCTGAGTGGTAGGGTGTGAAATTCTTGTACACTAAGGCACATTAGAAAGTCTTTTGGCTGGTACATGTCTGTAAAACTGGAAAGTTTTTAGAAAGTAGAAAATACTGATGTGGCCTTGTATGTGAAAGCTGTATAACTGGGATAAATATTAAAGGAATTTTGTATATAAATATAGCAGAAGTTCATTATTTTAAAGAAAAATAGCTTAGAAAAATGAGTATGGAGTTATTTGTATGTAGTTAGTATGACACGGTCTGGATTTCCAGTTATAATTTAATTGGGCTAGATGTATATATTTAGTGCTGGACAATATATGGAATACTTAGAGTTCTAGAAAGCTTCTGGAGAAATGAAATGTGTGAGTGTATTATTTCAGTACTTCCTGAGAAGGAATATAGCTCTGTTTTATATGCTGGTACTTGATTAATTCATTACCAATACTTTTGAATATATGATAAATATTGAGAGATCTTTGTGTATCATTTTTTTTCTCAATGGCATTTCCTGAAATACCTGCAGATAGCTCTGCTCAGCCACATGTGTCTTGGGCCATGGTACTTTCACAGCCCCGAAAGAAAATGGTGTCATCACCAGCATCTGAAGGTCCTTCCAGAGGCAAAGGAAAGCAGGATAATGAAGCAAAGGTACTTGAAAATTGTCTGTTCTTAACTAATTTCTGTCGCTGTGTGATTGTCTCTTGATGTGAGACATTGCCATTTCTTTCCTAGGTTCTATACAGTGTCCACTTCTAATGTAGCTTTTACAAAGTAGTATAAAGTTACCTTGTCCATATTAGGACTTCTCTTGAGTGGAAAAGAATAACAAGATGTCAAAAAGACACTGCTATTCCAGCAACGTGAACTTCCAACTTTTAGGCTAGACTTTTTTCACATTCATGACCCTCAGAATGAGACATAAAATGTGGAACTCTTGCCTGATTTGGGTGGGTATTTCCTACTGAAATATTAGTAGTTCTGATACATTCTGTTGTCTGTGTGGTGTGCTTCAGATGAAGAGTTTCTGCAGTAGCTCTGAATTTCTAAGAGACCTTGAATTTTCTTTGTCCACTTAATGTCCTAGCCTGGATTAAGATACCCTTTAGTTGTATAAGTGTGGTGACTTGCATTTATTTTGGTAGGTGGTAATCGAAATAAATAAATTTCTAATAGTCATGCCTCATGATTTTTTTCAGCAATCAGAAACAAAAAATGATGCGAGTGAAACTGAGCCTGAGGAAGGGTCAGAAAAGAAGAAAAAAAAGAAGAAAAAGAAAAAAAAAACAAAGTCACTCACTGATGTAGAGAAACCTCAAAATGAATCTACTACAGTACAGGAGCCACCAAGGATTGAGGTACAGTGAAGAGATTTTTCTTGTTGTTCACACAACACAAGGAATGACTGTTTACAGACTAATTTGTTTGAGAATTATGTGTAGAATTGAAGATCTGCAGGTTCTTTCCCTCATGAGAACATCCCCATTTTTACTATATGCTACTACACAATGTCATGAATGATCTACTTAAACAGAAGGAGAATGACAGGAGTCATGGAAAATAGTAGGAAGGTAAAGGGACTATTGAAGACAAAAATGGAAAAAAATGGCATAAAGTCATGGAATAGTACATATGCACTGCACTGAAATCTGTGATGTGGATGCAGCATCTGTTGTGGCAGTGACAGACAGCATGCAGACTCTCCTGGTTTGCTGGGAATGAATGTGTGCTCATCAGTTTGAAAAATGGGTGAGACACTTATGACGCACGTTAGATAGAAAGAATCATACTCATGGAACTTCTGGGCACCCAAGAATTTTAAGAAGGTTCTGCTATGTACAGCTGCTCACTGGAGCAATATATTGGATTGCTTACTAGTTCTATAAAATTCATTTGTAGACACTGTTAATGAGCAGAAATGGATACATTTGCAGAAAAGTAATCCTGTTTTTCCATATGCAGTGATAGGCCTTGAGCTGGGTGTTTTCCCTGTGGGGAAAAAAATTGAAGCTGCTATCAGTAATCACGTCAGTGCTGGTAGTACTGGTCAAATGTGCAAACAGCACTGGGAATTATTAGGAAAATAGAAAGGAAAATGGATTATGACAATACATAAATCCAGGATGTGTCTGATATAGTATGGGTTTTGTTTTCTTGTATTTCCCCCAGTCTCTAAAATATATACATACTTGAACTAAAAAAAGGTATACAAAAGGCTTCAAAAATAATAAAAATTATGAAGCAGTGTCTGTGGGGGACAAGGCTGAATAAATTAGGACTTCTTAGTCTGTAAAATAGATGGCTAAGTGGGAATCGAAAGAGACAAGGAAATAAAAAGGAAATTATTTGATCTTTCTCCTGTTTTTGTTGGATGTCCTGTGGTTCTTATAGATGATGAGTTAAGAGCAAATATAAGGAGGTGTAACATCACAATGAGTGCTAGTTTTTAGTTATTGCTACAAGGTGTTACAAATGCCAGAAGCCTATTTGAACTCAAGAAGTGATTGGACAGACAAATAAAAATTTATTCTAGTGAGTGTTATTTAAATGAGAAGGTACTACCTCTGGTTCAAGATGTCCCTAAGCTGGGAGGAGAGTGTGTTTGTGAAACGTTTTTCCCTTTCTTGCAGTTGTCTTTTGGCATACTTGCAAGCTTCTTTAAAAATAATTCATTGAGTGAGGTGTGTCTGTCCATATTCTAGAGCTTTCTAGCTTGGGCTGTTTTAAATGAAGTCTTTTGGGCTGCAGAGGAAGTGTTAATGTGTTCAGTAGTATTGTATCACATCTAAAAAGACCTCTCAGAAAGTGGGAGGAGAAGCAACTGAGGGAAACCCAAGCTGGTGGATCAAAGATCATTATGGTTGAGATAGGGAATATAAGGGGACCAGTCTAGAGCAAGCTCCAGCCTGTCTGCATTTAGTTAATCTGAAGTCTGGATAATGTATCCTCTGCTACTAAAATTTGCTCTCTTGTCTAAGCCTACATAATCACTTGAATGATTAATCTGTTTATTTTCATAGTGTAGTCAAGAGTTATTACCATTTTGCCTGCCCTTTTTGTTCTTCACCACTCACATGTTTAAGGCAGAATTGCAGAACTGGAGACTGTACTGGGAGAAGAGTGAAGATGTTTGCAAGGCTATTAAATGATCTGAAAAACAGCCATTTACCTATAATTATTTATCAGGTGACAGCAAGAACAAGCTGCTGTTGGAAGAATTTCTCTTTCAGCCCTGAATTAGCTGCCTGTAGATGAGTTAACCAATGTAGTGCTGATTATAGGTGACACTGCACGTGGTTCCTGAATTTTATACAGTGAAACGAACTGTGATGAATGTTTGCTAAGCAGGAAGAAAATAATGTGAATGCAGGAAAATCAGTTTTGAGAATACGGGTTTGATAGTTCTCATAAAATCTTCTTCTGATTTATTTGTTTAGGATGCTGAGGAGTTTCCTGATCTGGCAGCTGCTTCTGATAGGAGAAACAGGCTAGGATCTCAGAAATCATCATTTGTTCCTGTTGTCAGAAAGCAGTCTGAAGTAAGTAATCTATGATATTATGTGAATGTTAAGAAAATAAGCAGGAAAAGACTACAAGTTTTAAATGAGACTAAAAGTGGAATTCTTTTGTCTAAATATAGATGCTTACGATGTGGGGCTCTGCCCATGGCAATCCCCTTAGGTACTCAGTATGGACTGAATACTCATTGTATTCAGTAGATTCATATCATTCCAAAGGAGATAGTTTTTTGGTCTCTGAACTGCTGCCTAAACTCTGGGCTACTAGTTCTGGTATAGACACCTCTGTTGTGGACCCTCTTAGTTGAGATGAAATGTGTTTGTGTACTTTATTTTCCTACAGGTAGTGTTCTAGTTTAATCTTGCATTTCATAAAAATAATACTAAGTCTCTTTGAATTTCTGCCTTTGCTGTTTGTTCACATCATCAAATTTCAAGGGCATCTGAACAGTGTAATACTTTGTTCTCAAGCTGTGTAAGGGTCAAAGAATTTGAGTCTAACAATTATAAATCCAAGCTTGTTTTGTTTTTTCTTTTTTTTATTTTACGAGTGAAATAAATCCCAATGATTAACTTGGAAATTCATTCAATATGGGAATTAATCCCAAACATAAATTGCAAGGATTGGAAAAAAGATATGTTGTTTGCTTTGCAAGAGCGAAATAATAAAGGTGAAATTCCAGGTTTTTGTTTCTTTAAACTAGTTTTGCTGCTAGAAATCTTTGTCCTTGGTTTTGTTTCACTGTGAATATTAGTGATTTAAAAAAAAAAACCACAAAAACCTCCTTGTTTGTGGTAGTAAATTACATTGACAGGGAGGAATGAGCATCAAAAGTCACTGTAATTGCTCAAACCAGATTTTTTATAAAGAAACAGACTTTATAAAAAGAGAAACCTTTTTTTCTTTATAAAAAGAGAAAACTTTATAAATGAGAGAAACCTTCTAGCTTTGTAGGCATAAGTGGGATATAACCTCTCAACACTTATGTATGTTGTAAAGACGTGATCTTTAAACCACTCGTACTCCTCTATAACAAATATTTGAAGATGAAGCTGTCTTGCTGGTTGTTTCTTCCAAATCTGAAAAAAGGAAATCATGAGTCTGATTAAGTAGTACAGCAGCCAGTAAATGATCACACTTTTAGAAGACCATAATAAGGTCTTCCCAGACCCTTCTCTTCTCCAGGTGGAACAACTCCAACTCTCTCTACCTTTTATCATAGGAGAGGTTTTCCATCCCTCTGACCATTTTTGTGGGCTTCCTGTGGACCTGCAGTAACAGGTTATGTTGGGGACCCCAGAACTGCACATGGGACTCCAGGTGGGGAATCAGAAGAGTGGAGTAGAGGGGCAGAATCCCCTCCCTCGACCTGCTGGCCCCACTTCTTTTGATGCAGCACAGGATACAGTTGGTTTTCCAGGCTGTGAGCACACATTGCTGGCTCATAGTCAGTTTTACATTCGCTAATACGACCAAGTCATTCTCTGCAGGGCTGCTCTCATCCCCCAGTCTGTACTGCTGTTGGGGATTGCCCTGACCCATGTGCAGGACATTGCACATAGCTGTGTTGAACTTCATGACGTTCACAAAGCCCACTCCTCAAGCCTGTCAAGGTCACTCTGGATGGCATCCCTTCCCTGAAGCATATCAACTGTACTACTCGGCTTGGTGTCATTCACAAAGTTGCTGAGGATGCATTCAATCCCACTGTCTATGTTCCATTTGAATTTAATATCATCTTCACTTTACACTTTTCCATGTGTCTTTAAATATTTTCTCTTCCTCCTTGTCACCTTTTGTCTCTAAATTTCAAAGAACCATCTTCCCGAAGAGCCTTGGGATAGTCAGTCTCCCACACTGGATGGAACTCCCAAGGTGGATGGCCTGTCAGGAAAGCAACCTTTATCTTCTATATTAGAAAGAAAGAAAATGCAGGTAAATTAATTCATATTTGTAAAGAAGTTCACAACTAAAATTACAGAGGAAATTAGTATATTTAAATATAAAACAAAGTCCAAGCTCACCTGCAGTTGTGTTAATACTTTGTCATTTATACTTCAAAGATAAGTGACAAGATTTTCTTGATTAGAAGCACTCAGAGGTAGTAATTGCTAGCCCCCAGTTTCAGTTTAGAGAAAAATACTAGCTTTTTAATATCTTCAAGTTTCAGATATGAGGATTTTTTTTTTACCCAGCTTACTTGATCATGGCATAAATCCAGTCCAAACTGATTGTCTTAAGGAGTTGGGAAACTCTTAAAAGTGGTTCTGCCAGATTAAGACAAGGAGGCAAGGAGATTCACTTAGTTTGGGGCAAGGAGGAGAAATATAGAGCAGCAGTGAGGACAGTAAATAGTTCCATGTTGGTGAATAGATTCTGGCATAGCTTTGATGAACAACGAGATCCTAGGTTCTGAAGGAGGAGATCATTCCTTAACCCTTTTATAACAGAAGACATAGTGAATTGATTCTCGAGGATAAGACTTCTAAAATCACAAAATGTGTGAGTCGATTCCTTAGCCTTTGTAGTTTGGTCTTTGTTAGTCTTTGCTAGACTATTCATTTATAGTCTTTTTATATTCTGAATCATTAAAAGTGTTGTGTGGGATGCTGCTTTTGCCTTCTCTTGAAAGCAGACAGAAAGATTACTGCTTATGAGGGGGTGGTGCTTAAAGCCTCTAAAATCTTTTTTTAATACGTCACTGAAGATAATTATATATGTATATTGCAATCATGAACCCTGGAAGATTCATGGAGCAGTTCTGTACTTTTAAAAAACTTTCTGGTATGCCTTTTTTTCAAAGATAGGTGGCAGTCTGACCAAAGTGGGAGCCTGACATAAAGCACATCCTTTATTGAAGACTTTATACTTCTATGCTTTATTCCAGTAGCTATTCAAAAGTTATTTCAATTGTTTCAGATTTTCTTTACTTTTCACATTAAAGTTGATGTGTATTAAATACCAAAATACTTTCATTGAAAAATCATGGATGAAGATGTTAAGAGTGTACAACACACCATACAATATAACAGTCTTTACATTCTGAAATGGAGAGCATTACTAATTGGTACTGAACTTGTTCAGGAAACATCCAGGAGCAGTGGTAAGAAGAGTCAAATTCCTGTGCAATTGGATTTGGGTGGCATGCTGGCAGCCTTGGAGCAGAAGCAGCAAACAGAGAAGTCAAAACAGTCTTCTAAACCTGTGGTCTTTTCAGGTATTGGTTATGGTGAAATTTTCTTTCTTTCAACTTAAGAGTTGTTTTTAATTATTGAAACATTAAACGTAGCCTGATTTCTGATCTGTAATGATCTCTGAATATGCAGGCAGGAGCACAGTTCACAAGATACAAGAGAAAATAAAGGTTCTTTAAAAAAAAAAATTAAAGTATGGCAATCTGAATTGTTTGGAGAAAGACTTAGGGAAAGAAAAATCTTCAGAACAATGATTTTTAAGAGTACCTTATATGAATGGTGACCGAAGTTTAGCTTTGACGCAAATACTAATGTTTGTGGAGATTTTTGCATGTCTTAAATATGTGTATTACTATTGTGATCTGAGTCTGCAGGAAGGGGCCACACAGTAACAAAGGCTTTCATAAACTACTCCAATGATAGAAATCCTAGAGCTGTAACTTGAGTGAAAAAGCTCCTCTGCAAACACAGGGGTTGTATGAGAGTCAATCAGCCCAAGCCAAAGAATAATTGCTGCCATGCCTGATAATTGTGAAGTAATTGTTGTTAACAAAATGCTAGGCTTTTGTGATGGACAGAATCTTTCAGACTTTGTGTATGCATAACCAGGAAGTAGAAACAAATAGCCCACTATCTTTTTCATTGTAGGTCAAAATTTAGTCTTGGCTGTGTTAGTGCAGCGTATTTTTCAAAAGGATGCATGTTGTTTCCTAGAATTTAATGATTAAAAGATTTCTCTACTTATTTCATTAAATAATAAAAAAAAATATTTCGGAAATAGAGCTAATTGTGAGATAATTCATCTCACAGTGTTTAATGTAATAGTTGAGCTTTTAAATAAAAAGCTCAAAATACCAAGCATTGATAAGATTTTCCTGCACTAACTGAGAGAACTTGTAAGATATTTTAAAATATTCTTTTTCTACAATTGATCTCTTTTTTTTCATTTGAGTCAGTTAAACTCAGTGCTGTAGAGGTGCTAGTAACCAGGTTTTTTTCTATAAAATTATACAATGCATGGATTATGAGTAGATGCTGGAGCACAAAGGTACGGGCCACAGTACCTGTTTTCTAATATTAAATTACCTGGGTCTGAACCTGCTGCAGAAGAGAAATTGATGTGTCGTGTTCATATCCTGGAAGTACAAGGCACATGTTAGCTCAGCTTTATACCTTTTTTTAACATTCAGTGCACCCATTAAATCGGTGTATACCAAAATGTTACTTCAGTTAGTGAAGTGGCATTGTGCTGACCTTTGTAACCGGAAGAGAAGCACAGTGAACAAGAAAGGCAGGGAGTGTCTGACTGCAGACAGAGTTTATTCCACTTCATGTGGTAAATAATGAATGGATGGAACAGCACAGTAAAACAGTAATTATTTGAATTTAAATTATGTTTTGGAAATGCATCAGTAGTGCAAAATGACATAAGCTGTTAAAGCCATCAAGTTCAGGAACATGAGAACTCTGTGAATTTGAAATGAAGAGGTGATGTACGCAGTGAAGGAAATAGCATGTGTCTACATGGTGTATACTTAATGTATTGCTTCAAATTCAGTTTCGGTTCTTGTGGCGACCTATGCTAACATACTGCTCAACGTTCTTGGAAATTTGCCTTTGTTATACAGAGACAAAAAAAGTTGCGGTATAGCAGTTTTATGAAGTAAACTGTTTATGCTAATAGTACTTACATGGTGTTGGAGGACTTGTAGTTGGAGGAGGAGTAAACCAAGATGACTTAAAACAAGCTGCTAGAAGCTTTGGCTGTTTTCTAGGTAAGAGAGGTTGCCTGAGGCACAAAGGTGTCAAGCTCATTCCATGATGCTTCGTCGTCATCGTCTTCATTCACTAGCTTATGTAACCTGGTTTATATTGCAGGTAACTGAAGTTTGACAATGTGGTCTCACAGAGTACAGCAATCTCTGATGACAGCAAGTTGAAAAGGAGAGTAGTTTTTAGGATGTGAGGTCATGGTTTGGAAGGTCCAGATTCAGGGACTTGGCCAGTCATTTAAAGCTTCTGTGTCCTAAACCCTCTGGAAAGTGCAATTAAAGCAGACATCTCTTGAGAGCTGTGCTGATTAAGTAAAAGAAACTTAGCTGTAGCTTTGCATTAGTCATTACCATCTGCAAATGAACTCCATCCAGTTTCATTAACAAATGGTAGGACTAAGCACTATAGATTATTTTCAGCAATTAAATCTAAAATCTGTAATAATGTGACTCAGTGTTTATCTTAACACAGTACAGAATCTGTGGAGGAGGAAATGCCAGTGAAATGGAGGTTCCTGAAGGTGTATCAAGCTGTCAATGACATGGTGTTGACGGTAGCTTGGAGTGCCGTGTTTTGCCAAATTCTGCTTTTGAGAGTTCAGGGACAGAGCTTGTGATTCTAGTTGTATAATAAAAGTAGAGAACATGTCAGTCTTTTTGGAGGACTATCTTTATTAAATAACATTGTTTAATGATACAGGATTGCCTATAAACATTCTTAATAGCAACATAGCACAAATTTAATATGTGTATACTAGTCCTAATCCAGACATTAAACTTGCATTGGATTGTAGTTTAGGTATTTGTTATACTTCTCTGATGCAGAGTTTTGGTTTTTTTTTTTTAATCTCAGTTGGTGGTGCCATACCGTTGCTTTCTAAAGAATCTACTACAGCCATAAAAAGTCAACGATTAAATCAAGGAAAGATGCCTCATAACCCTTTGGATTCCAGTGCTCCTTTGGTAAAGAAAGGGAAACAGAGAGAAGTCCCTAAAGCAAAGAGACCAACACCTCTTAAAAAGGTGCTCATATTTTTACCTTATATACTACAATATAGGCTAATGAAACTTCAGTACTACTCTGTGAGTCTAGTTAAACCTTCTGGCATGAAGATCTGCATCTGAGTGTCCAGCTGTCTAAATTAAATTTTAGCTTTCCTTGGTTTAAAAAAGGGGAAGAATAAGCAAGGGAGAAGAGGAGAGTCTTGCTAAATAGTATGTACAGTTTCCCCCAAGATCTGTTTTTTTCATGTAAACCACTTGGTAGCTGAAGAACTGCTACTACAAGAGTGTCCACACATCATTGGTATAGGGGGACATCCAAAGTGATCTTGATTGGTTTGGGCAAGATCTGCTTATTTGCAGGACTGGGGAGAATGGATTAAACAAAGGTGGTATTTAATGTTTCTGTGCTCTTCCAAGCCAGAACTTCAGCAGATTCTGCATCAGCTAGTCTTAGATCCACTTGGTGATTTCTCTTGTATCTTCCCCCTGCTCAGTCACATTGCTTCCTGTCGTGTCTTCTATACAGGGGATTTTGAGATACCACTCAATCACAAGGTTGCTTTTTTGGTCTAGACTAATTGTTATGGAGCTAGTGAAGGTAGTTTAGTGGTCATTCTGTGCTGCTTAATTGAATTTGAGAGCTGTCCAATATAAACAACATATAACAAACTCAGGTGATACTAGTGCTGTGTCTTCTGGCTGTTCTATTTTCATGCCACCTGTTTTCCAAAGTAGGTTTGAGAATACAAAGATTGCTTTGTCTGTAATATCTGTGTTCTGAGTGTGGTAGTGAGATTATTTTTGTTCATCTTTGACAAATGCAAATGGAGAAATTTACTTTTTAAAGTAAAAGAATTAGATCTGTGGTGTAATTCATTACAAATTTGGGGTAGATTAACAGAGCTAGTGGGCATATATATAATAACTGCTTCTTAGCAGCTACAAAGGCAGGGAAGATGAGTTTCAGGAAACTGATTATCGCTTTTACTTACAGTAGCATGTTTGGATCCAGCATATGTCCTACTTTTCTTCCATATACCTAGCTATCCATGGTAATTTCTTCTCTTTTTTTTCAACCAGCAAATTCAGACAGCGATCTATTAGACTGACTCAAGATTTTTAATGGGAGAATAAGGGAGCATAGTAACTGTGTGTGTGTATATATGCATATATTTATATATACATACATATACCTGAGTGTTTGGCTGAATTGCTGCAAATTGACACTCTGAAGGAGAAAGGGAGAAGGGAGACCTTTTCACCCACTTCATTGCATTGAAGAAATTTGTCGCTTTATCTTTAGTTTTGCCATTGTAGTTGATCCCTAGTAATTATTTCCTCCACCCAGACACTGGTAATCAAGGAAAAAGTCCTTTTCTATGTAGATTTAGAGAGTATCTTTCCTTCTTTATAATGTCCAAATTAAAGACAAATGTTGTAAACTTTGAATGATAGTGCCAGACTTCTTTATGAATGGTCTTTATGTAAAGACTTGTAAGAGAAACTGCTTTGTTATCTATGTGACATCGGTTTGATTTGTTTTTTATATATATATATTTTTAGATTATTCTGAAAGAAAGAGAACAACGAAAACAGCAACACCTGTTAGAACAGATAGCAGTATCAAAAGGTGAAGATAATACTTGTCAGCCCACAGAAAATACTACTGAAGATGAAATGCTTCTACAGGATAGTCAAGCAGGTATCTTTCAAGAGAAGGCTGTAACACAGTATGTAGATGGAGATTTGAGAGTGAGAACACTTAGTACTTTCAAAAATGTGTACCAAGTACTGTCAAATGAAAACTGTACCTTCAGAATTTTCTAAAATTCAGCTTGGGCTTATCTAGAGTTTAAAGTGTGCCAAAGGCGATGTAATTGAGTTAATTTGGCTTCTGAATACTGTTCCTCACTTTCATGCCCGTCGGATTTATTATGTGTCATAGTGAGAGTCCTTGCATCTCTCTGGCAATCTGTTTAAAAAGAGGTACAATAATAAAAACTAAGTAAAAAAAAAGAAATGTATGACCTCTTCCACTACTACCGCAGATTGTTGTAACAGTGAAGTAAAGCCTTTCCAAGAGATACTTGGCAACCTAGGTCTCTTCACAATGCTTTTTGGTTTGTCTTTTCATTGAAATGTCTTTACATGATAGCTGTTCCTGTAATGCAAGCTGCTGAAGGGTTTCTGGAGAACACAGGGATGAAGGAATCTACAGAAGGTTCTATGACTTCAAAGCAGCTAAACTCCAATCTTCCAAAAATCCACAGTAGAAATTTTAGAGAGTAAGTACTGATTGTAGAGATCTCTGTTTTTCCACAGTACTGCCAATACAGCATTTTTCATACAAGATACTTCAACTGCATTCTATGTCACACTAGTTGGAATTTAGACTGAAATTCTAAATTTTTTTTTCAGTTTTCCTGTGAGCTAACACACAAACAAAAAATTATATTCAGAGAAATAGTCTGTATGTTATTGTAATTCTGTTTTCAAAATGCATGTTCCTTGAAGGAAAAGAAAGATCAGAAATTCATTAGAGGCTAAGGAAGGAAAAGGAGCTGCTGTTAAAAGTAATGGAGTACCAGCTTAATATTTAAGAAAAAGAGTAGTACACTTTACTTATTTTTAGTGTGTACTTTGGTTTTCTGCTGTCAGACCAAATGGCAAAAATGAAAAGAATGTGATGAGCCAGATGACATTTACATGTTGTGGCGAGGCAAAGAAATACAGGGAAGATTTATGGGTTATTGTGTGCAGACACTTTTAGTTTTGTTTAAACAGATGTGTATACATGTTTCCTTATAAAAGAAGAAATAGTCATTACTATATGTAAAGAGGTCAGAGATCCAGCTGTGACAGTTTAAAACAGTCACTTTAGACAAGCAATGGTTTAGTTTTCTTCCAGTAAAGGCACCACTGGCCTTTTTGCAGTTCCATGTTATAGTAACAGTTAATATTGATACAGCCATTCTTTATCTTCCTGATGCCATGTGTTAGCTTGTCCTGGTTCAGCCAGGATAAAGTTTTCCCCAGCAGAGAGAGAGAGGGGGAAGGGATCTCCAGCCGGGTTATTCATACCATGCTGATGTCAGGTCCAGGGGTGGAACCTTTTCACCTTTCGCTTCTGGTGTTGGTTTTTGCCATACACGCGGCGGGTTTGCTCCTTGATCATTTAGCGGTATTTCTCTGTATATCTTTTGTCTTGTTCACTGTTATTGCTGTTTATTGTTGTGACCATTGATGCTGTTGTTATTCAGATTGTTCTATCACTCTGTTGTATTAAATTTCTTGTTGTTTTAGCCGGGGTCTGTGTTTAACTTCCAGCCCGACCGGCGCAGGTGGGGGAGGGGCAACAGCCACGTGCTCTCTCATCCCGGCAAGAATTAAACCTTGCACATAGCTCTAAATAATTGCATTAAAAGTTATTTAATTTGTGTCTATGCAACACTTACTGAAAGCAGAGTTTGGGTTGAATAGGTACAGGGCTATTGTAGCATGTAGAGCATTCAGCAAAGCTTAGAATATTTTGTGTCTTCAGGTTAGATTTTCAGTGTTTTAGCAGACTTGTCTTTAAGACTTAGTGAAATCAACTGGAAATTGTAAATAAAAACTCTTTGTAACTTACAATTATCTCAAAATCTGATTTATCTCTAAGGTCCAGCATAGACTTCCCATAATCTTATGTGAATTTGCCACTTAGCATCTTCATGTTGACTGTGCAGTTGAGATATCTTTCATTTTTCTCTTTGTGAGCCTTCCTTACTGAGTGATTCTTTGTGTAAAAGATGGGGGAAAAATGATTTGGAACCCTGATCTTTCACAGGGAATACTAGAAGGTTGAAGTACACCTGTGTTTACCCTTTCCTTGTGAACACCACAAGGCTGTAATCTGATAAGTAAAATCGGATGACAGACAAAAAATATGAACTTGGGGAGGAGAAATTTGATCCAGATTTCTATCTTTGTTATAAGTATTCCTGTATTTATAGAAATAAATTAGAATTTTATACTTTGATTGCTGTACTTCAATTTATATAGGTCAAAATAAAGGCCCTCAGAAAAATGCTTCAATAGAAAATATGTACATATGTATGTACATAATATGTATATATGTACATATATGTTTATTGGTATAAAATACAGGTTTATTGTACATGTGTGTATGTATTTTTGGTATAGTTTGATAGGGGAGCCAGATACCACAGGTAACAATACTTTCCATACGTTCCCAGCCACTGAAAAAAATCTTACATAAATTTTTGGGTTTATGTATATGAGAACTGTGTTTGGAGTAGAAATAGAAAAAAAAAGTAAAGACAGACTAGAATAGAAGGTAAACTGTTTATATTTTACATATTACTTATTTATGTGTTATATATTTTACTTTTAGAGTTTTTAACATTTAATTGATTGTATCTTCCAGTTACTGCAGCCAGGTACTTAGTAAAGAAGTTGACAGTTGTGTGACAGATCTCTTAAAAGAACTGGTTCGTTTCCAAGATCGCTTGTATCAGAAAGACCCAATAAAGGCCAAGATAAAACGCAGGCTTGTTATGGGGCTTAGAGAAGTTTTGAAACATCTGAAGCTGAAAAAACTGAAGTGTGTCATCATCTCTCCTAACTGTGAAAAGATTCAATCAAAGGGTAAATAAGTTTTTTTTAAAAGTGTTTATTTAATGAAAGAAATGTAAAAAAGCAAACTCAACATACTGGTACCAGTATTGATTATTAGTATTGGAGGAAATTACTTGAGTAGCCTTTGAAATCCAGTCATGTAAAGATGCCTTCCTTCCTTCAGATTGTTAACTGCTGTGCAGCTGAAGTGTGAGCTGAGTCAAGACTATCTGGGGTGGGGGCAGTTATTTGAGGCTAGGATCTGTTTAGTTACCGATTTGCAGTGCAGCTACACAAAAGATTTCACTGGCATAGCTGAGAAGACACAAAGGTTACTGATGCCAGCTGTGCCCCCACAAGAAGTCCTGCTGTAGATTGGCCACAGATTGACAATGTCAGTGATACTTTGTTTAAGATTTGTTGTAATTATTTTCATTACTTTCTGTTAACTTTTAAATAATTTCTTAGCAGCTGGGGCTTTTTTTAATACTAGATTATACTACACATACAACAAAATACAGAGTAGTTGCAGTCTAAGGATACTGCTAATTATTAAGAAAAAAATGTCAAATTCTCCTGTAAAAGTTAAGATCTAATGCTATTATTGAGATCCATGTATTTTTTCCTATAAACTTTGTAATTTCAAAATAAACCCATATTCGTGGGGGTATTTTTTACCGTCTTTTAACAGTACTGTCCTTTAGTTATAATCACCCTGAATAGTGTCATTCTTTGCTGATTCTGTTGTCTGCTCCAGGTGGGTTGGATGAGACTCTGCACAACATTATCGACTGTGCCTGTGAACAGAATATCCCATTTGTTTTTGCCCTTAACCGCAAGGCCCTAGGCCGCTGTGTGAACAAAGCAGTGCCTGTGAGTGTGGTGGGAATTTTCAGCTATGATGGGGCTCAGGTAAGCTGAAATATATAGGTTCATGTTTTTGTTTAGTTTTACTTTTTACCTGTAAGAGGAAAATAGCATACTCATGGCTTTAAGGTTTTGTTTGTTTGTTTTGCTCTTGTACACTTGTACTCTTTATCCCAGGCTAATACAACAAATCGATTTTTGAAGTACAGCCACTCGGCACTGTTTGAAAAAGTAGTTTGGCCATCTCTTCCTGACATCCATCTTGATCTTCCAAAATATTTTTTTTCAAGAGAATTGTTGTTTTTATAAATGGTTTGGTTTTCATGTCATTATACATACTTAGCTGCTCAACTTTTATGTATGAACATACATGTTATGAATAAGGAATATTCATTACAGATCTTCATGGAGATGTTAAAAATTAACAATGTGATTGAAGCTGTATTAATACTGTGTATTTCCCCAGGACCATTTCCATAGAATGGTACAACTGACAACAGAGGCCAGGAAAGCCTACAAAGATATGATAGCAGCTTTAGAGGAAGAAGCTGAAGGAGGGCTAAGAGAAACCCAACCCAGCATCTTAACCACTGAATGTGAAAAAAATGGCTTATCAGAAAGTGCTAAAACATCTACCAAGGACTCTGATGAGGATGTACCAAATTATAGTGAGTATTTACTGGCTTGGTTTTGGTTCACTTTTCATTCAAAGTGCTCTTCAATTCTACGATTTTCACTGAAACAAATGACACCTGACACTTCAGTGGTTAGTAAGGGGAGAGCTTCTGCTTTTCTGTTATTTCCCTCCACCCTCCTGATTTTATAAATCTGAGATCAGTTCTTACTGAGAAAGTTTTAGAGAAAATTCTCCTTGCTTTGTCCAAGGAGGTTTAACAGAGCTGCTTCTTACTTCTATTAGTAAAAAATCCTCCAAGTTTTTTTCTAGAAGTGCATTCTCTGTAGCTGCAGTGGACTAAGTTTTGTATTGCAGCCTGTTTGAAATGCATATTCCTGTCCAAAAGTGTTCATGTTTTGAAAGGTTTACCTCTTTTAGAAACACATTCCTCTAGCTCTGCTTATACAGTCACCAGACAATGACAGTTATCATGGATACTAGGCAATTTAAAACTTCTGGGTTTTTTTAAGTTGGATTCACCTTCAGAGTTGGCCTTGCTTGAGTTGGGGTCTGGACACAAGGACCTCAGTGGATCCCATCACTCCTGAAGTATTCTTTCATGCATCATTTGATGTCATGTGGTGTACATGCTTACATGGCCATGTGCCAATTTAGCTCAGCACTTACTTTGAGGAAGAAGTAGAGAATCAGTGTGACTTCATTTTAAGTTTTTCAAGTATTATACAGTAACCTGTTTGTTGTTTTGTTTGTTTGTTTGTGTGTTGTGTTTTTTTTTTTTAATTCTAATATTCCCTAGTTAAAATCTGGAAGAGAAAACTTGAAGAAGACTATAATCCATATGCACTGGAACTGGAAAAGAGTGCAACTGCTGACATGGTGATAGTGAATTCAGAAGAGCATCAGTAAATGCAGATCCAATTTTATTGGGCTTTCTTTTTGGTTTTTAGATCCCCTAGGAAGAAGGTAGCAAAACAAAATAATTAAAGAAATATCTGAAGCAAGCTAAGTAAACTGTTCTGAATCCCTTTAAATGAAATACATACTGGGGCACATGAGGCACTAGCTAATGCTTTTACACTTTATGTATTTGGCTGATTAGTATAGCAGATGACAACAGCAAATTGTCTTAGTCCAAACCACTTGAACTGGCTTGCCCTACCTTAATGGTTTTATGCACTAGCACTGATTTTTTAGTGATGCAATATACCAAAAGAACTTGTTAGAAAGATGATGATTTTATTTGGGAAGACATTCCATGAGCCAGAAGGATGAGGCTTGTGGGGAGTTGCTTTTTATTCTTAACTTCTTTTAAAAAAATTTAGACTGGTTTTTGATTGTGGAGGTTTTTATCTTTTTTTCTTCTCAATAAACCTGCTTAGATGGGCAGGCTGGCATCAATGTCGCTTTCTTCCAGTCAGCAAGAAACTAATTTTGGGCAGGCAACTTGATTGAAACTATTTTAAGGAAGACCATGACGACAAAGATCCCAGTTAGCTCTTCTGTTTGATACTTTGGGGATGATACAGATGTGAAAGAGAGAGCATGGACTACAAAGGTCTGAAATTCCTGATGTGAAAATGCTCTCTTTAGAAATGTTATAAAGCTGATGAATTGTATAATGATGATCATTCTGTTGCTACTGAGATGAGTTTATTATAGGTCCTGCTTTGAAGTTAGAAGATATTGAAGGACAGCAGAGGTGCCAGCCTGCTATCCTATCTGTAACCATCTTCATGCTGACAGACTCTTCATTCCTTCAGTTTGGGGTTGTGTCACTATGTATATGTAATGGGTTTTGATTGATCTCAGTTTTTATCAGTCAGGGAAAATTTTTATCTAACAGGAAATAAAATTTTAAAATCAAAATGTCCTCATAATGGTGGTGGAGCACCTTAGTGGGACTGTCCTATATAAATATCATTGTTTACAAGTTTGAAGACATAGGAGAGTAAGCCTAAAGAAAGTAATTGGAGAATGCACATGTGAACTTCGGTCATCTGTTCTGAAAGATGATATAGATGCCATGTGCTGCTACCAGCATCTCTGAAGTGTAAGTGCATGCTTCATCACATTGAAGTAGTAGTGCAATACATTGGAAAGGAGCTGCCTTGTGAAGTTAGAAGTGATATAAAAACTTTAAATTGTTTGAATTTCAAAATTATTTTGTAGAATGTAAATTGTATAAGATCTGTTACAATATACTGATTCTGTAAAGTATGGTTGTGATCTAAGTAAATTTGTCTGTTGGGCATTTAACGATATTTGAAATGTCAGTTTTGAGGAAAAACATTGGTAAGGGATGCCAGCCTTGAGCTGAAATGTACAGTGGTCACGATATTTTTGTATTAGTTTCTTCTAATCTTAAATGGAAATTGAGGGTGCAAGATATCAGTGATTAAAGATGGTTTTGGTTAGCTGATAGCCTTGATCTAGAGGTAAGTTGCAATTTATTTGGACTTGTGCGACTTTGATACACATCTAAAACTCTGAAACTGCTAAACCTGAACTGCTAAACTGGGGACCAGTTTGTGAAGATCACGTTAACAGCTGGTTTTTTGGGCCATATTTTCTGTTTTGTCTTACTGCAGAAAAGCATGAAAAGTTACTTTGAAAACATTATAGGTTGTTCAAAATCTTGGGGAGTTATTTACTGTTCTTAGAATGTAGCAAAAAAATTCCCTGTACAGGGTCACAGCTGTATTCACTAATTCTGTTACACAGATGTTTTTTCACAAAGAAGTTGAGCTAAACAAAAACTCTGGCCTCAGTCTTACAAAAGCCTTACCTTCCCACTCAGTACCACTGAACTAAACTTATATCTGCTCCAGATCTACAGAACAAATAGAGGAGGGACAATTCAAGAAAAGTGTTTTTATAGTTGTCCTTTAGCCATAAAGGATGCCCTGAGAGAAGCACAATGGGGAAGAAAATTCTCTCTGAACTTTGGTGTCAGAAGTTTGTATCAGTATTAATTTATGATTGCCAATGTGAAAAATAGGGAAAACTGTGTAAGAATTTTTACCCTACATGTGTGACTACAGGGTGGTCTGGTATTGGGAAAAAAAAAAAAAAGGGTCATTCAGGAAAGTTTTAGAATAAGAAGAATGCTTTTTTCAATGGAAGAAACAAATCTAACTTAAATCTTAACCAGTTAGGGGATAACTCAGGGATAAGTATGCAGCTTTCTGCTATTGCTAGGAGCAGCTGTCCCCATGGACTCAAGCTATAGTGACTCTTAGGTGGCATCCTGCTTTCTTGCTTCCAAGTTGAAAACCATTGAGAGAATAAGACAGAAAACTTTAATTATGCCTCAGACTTTCATTTATTAGATGCAGGAGGACAGAACTCTGAACAGCAATGCAGTAAAACATTTTCACTGTGGATTAAGTAGGTCCTCACATTTTCAATCTGCAGTTGTTCCGTAGGAACAGTCTTAGAATTCCTTCAACATAGCTTTAAAAAATTCGACCAGTTATCTCAAATAGAAGAATAATTTGCAAAAACTAAAGAGTCTGCTTTAACTTGCGTGCTTTGTAATCTATTTATCTGTATTTTGAGCATTACTCAGTAGTTCTTTATTTTGTACAGAAACTTTATTACCAGAGGAAATGTGTTTGAAGAAATGAACTTGCTGACACCAGAAAGGAATGTTCTTCAAAACACTAGGAACAAAGTATAAGGGTAAACATATTAAAAGAAAATAAATGGGCAAGTTAAAGTGTTTTTAAATAAATGTGATCCACACCTTCTTATTAATCTCTAAATCATCTGCCAAGATCCTCAAGCCCCAAATAAACTGGTTTTCTTAATGAACTCAAAACAGAAGCTGTACATCAATATACTGCCTGAACAGTGCAAGTCTTGCTGAGACCACTTTTGTTCTTCATTAAGCTGAAATAACTGGCATCAAAAAAACAGAGATGGGATGGGTGGCCTCTCTTGTAGGATGTAACTTAGTCATTCTTCAATGCAGTAAGGATATCCTCTTCCACCTCAAGCTTCAGGTGGTCCTGACTATCAGTTTTAATGGCAGCACTAGCACTCACAAATAACTGAGTGCTGTGCTATTAAAAGTAATCTAACCTGCATACATTTCTCCTTCAAGCCTCGTTGTTTCTTTGTCCACTAGAGGCTGTTTTTCTTGTTGCAGCTCTCCTAAAGAGGAGAAAGTTCAGAATAATGTGTTAATATTGGTTTAAAAATTAAAATAGTGTTTTAAGGTTGCTTGTACTAACTGTTTCACATGCAAGAAGCATATGTTGTATCTAGAAGTTATCAGAAGTAATCTTATGTTCTAACTTTTGGAGAATTACATTAAAAGCTAAGTATGGACTATTTTTTTAAAAGGAATGCCAGCTTTGATGAACACTACCATTTATGAAGTCCAGTAGTCTGCAACACAATTAGTCTACAGATGTGATTAAATCTACTATATTCAGTATACACAGACTTACTGTTTTGGGCAGCATGAGAACTACTGCCTGATTAGCACTTGGTTAGTGGACTGAAGGAACAAGCTGACATAACTGTAACACACATCATAGATCGAGCAAATTTTACTGCTGAAGGTAGTCAAGAATGATGGCATATACAGGAACACTAATGACTTTGTTATATAAATATATGCAGTTACAGAAGCATTTTAGGCTATTTATAAAATAGGGACTGTAGTGTGTCATGTAGAAAGCACTGTAAAATATATTCTTTCCAAAAATTCTTACCCATGTTTTCTTCCAGTTTTGCATCATCTTGTCATGTTCACTGATGGCATTTCTCCAGGTATGGAATTCTTTGGTCCATCCATCCTGACCAGCATTATCTGAGAATTGTATATGGAGATGATTACATAACTGTGTAATGATAAAGTAAGTCGATACTGGTTCAGTTGCAGCACTTCCTGTGAAAGATTGGGCTAGAAGGAACAGAAGCCATCATTTTGTCCTTCATTTTGTTCTACCTCCTCTCATGTTATTTGGAAATAAGTTCTATTCAAATTATCATGTCTCTTCCCCTCTGCAGCAAACATTATAGTCTCCAGGGTAAAGAGATTCAGTGTCTGAGACTCGAGGTCTAGAAAATACAACCTACAAGTTAAGAGTTCGAACCCATCTAAGCAGCACAGGAATGCTCCAGTTAGATCATACCAAGCCTGGGAAGAAGGAAGATAAGTCCAGTTTTCAATTTCCTCATTTTTCAGTAATGTTACGTAGTTAGTTACTCTTCATTCCATTGACAACTCAAGAAGGGTTGTTTTCCTGCATCTTGATAAAATTCTGTCTGCCAGTTTTTCTTGCAGAATGTAACACTGAAGGTGACAGATATAACTTTTTCAGTGTATCCTTCAGGACACTTGCAACAACAGTATATAATGGGTTTGGAACAGTGAAAGCCTCCCTGTTTTACATTTACAGTAGTTTCACTGAGATGCTCTTCATTCTGCTTCAGAGATAGACTCAAATTAACTGGAGTGATGGCAAGACAACTTGTGTAACTCCTACTGCTTTTCTCTGTCACTGCAAAAAGGTTTGAGCTGTTCGTGACACATTTGTGTTTGTCATTAGCCACCTAATTGATTTTCCTTCACCTTGCCAAGGAAGTCTATACTATATCTTCATTGCTCCTCCTGGTTTTGTAAAGAGTATTCAGACCTTCTCCAGGCCTGGATAAGTTCTCAAAAGCTAGTTGCAGATGATGCTTAAGTTGCATCAGTAGTTGCATGAAGAGTTGCATGACCTCACCCAACTACAGGTGTTTTATAAATCATCTGATTTTTAAACCTGGGTGGTAGGGGTTTCTCTTTACCATCTTATTCCTTGGCATTAAAAAATTTTGCTATATTACCTTGTAGACTTCTGGCAGAATAGGTATTTTTAACTTTCTAATACTCATCTGACTTCCAATTTGTGTTAGTCTAGCAGTTTTGATTCGTTTCTAGATCATAACTGCTAATTTGCAGGTTCGTCCTTTGTGAGAGGGAGTGGAAGGAAGAAATTTTACAGCTTTAAAACCTTGTCATAAACAACTGAAGTGGATACCAATACAATAAATAACCTGTCATCTTCAGATATGCACATTTTATGGGTGAAAATCAGACAGCTTCACAGGATCAGACCAAACATGTCACACATTCAGAACCAGCCTACCTTTATCTTCTACTGTGATGAGCACTTCTGACGTTGCATTCCCAATTTTTGAGGTGAATGAACATTGATATTCTGTATTTTCTGATACTGAATCTTTCACCCAACTCAGAACATGCACTCTGCCATCAAACAGCACATGAGATTGCTCAGTGATGCATGCATTCATCTTCTGTCTGTTCTTCTTCCAGACAAAATAGGAGGCATCCGGACCTGTAAAAATGCCAGTCAGTTTATTTTTAAGAAAATACGAGTCTTTGAAAAGAAAACAAAAACCTGAGACCTCAAGATTAGGCTCAAAAGCATAAATGGTTGATTGTAATGTTTCTTAGGTTTCTTCAGCTGAAATTCTAGGTACCCAAAACCTGAGATATAAAGCCAGCACTGATAATTTAGGTTCAGGCCAAAGTTGTAAATGAGTTCATATGTATAAAGGAATTCTGCCTGGATTCTCACAAGGGGGAACTTACCCTACAAACACGATAGAGCAGATGATAAACATCAGCACTATCTGCCTATATGATTTCCTGTAGAGCTAGGCCATGTTAGCTGCTGCTTCTGGTACAAAGCTGAAACTATCTAACACATGCCTTGCCAAATCTGAAATAAAGGCCAGGAGGGGAAAAAGGTCAAGAATTCAGTGTGTCAAAGATGCTGGAACTGATCATGAAAGAAGTAGAAATGGAAAAAGCACAGAACCAGTAGTCACAGCAGGCAATAGGCAAGACAGAACTTGGAACAAGCTTGGATCAACAACAAAGAGCAATCTCATCTTTTGGCCTTGTTGCTATTATTTGTCTTAACGTGCAAGGACAGAATTTGAATAAATTGGAGACTGACAGTAGCCCAGAGAACAGAACAGCTGTTCCCAGAAAATTAGCAGGGTTGGCTGAAGTGTACTTGGCAGTATCAGAGTGTTTTCATTTAAAAGACAAACATCTGGGCCAAGCTAAGAACTTTGCAGTAATTCTGATGTTTATAACATGCCTGTTCGTACCTCGGTCCTGGGATCCAGACTAGCCTTAGCAAAAGATGACACAAAGAGAAATTTAGGGTAAAAAAGAAAATATTTTTTTTTGCAAGTATGACTTGAGAGAGCAAGTAACATACTTCAGAAGTGAGCTTTTACTATGAGCTTTTCAGATTGCAAATCAATGTGGCATTTTTCTCTAGAAAAAATACTTGATTGACTGAAAACAGCTAGCCTGGCACACTTTTTTGTACAAAAAAAAGGTTCATAGATGATTGTACTCATTCTACAATTAACAGTAGATAGATTACATGTTGCAAGATCATGGGAAGTCTGGAACCAGTGACAAATTATTACAGTAAACTAATACTGAAGTTGGAATTTGGACAAATGGGAGGAATAGTAAGTAAACACAAGCACAGCAGAAAGATAGAAATCTTGAAGAAAAAAAAAAAAAAGGCTTTTAAGAGTAGAAACCTACATTCAAATACATGCTGGTTTATAATTCCTAATGCTACAATAAATCTGACATAGCATTAATGCAGAAATGAAATTAAATTACAGTGTTTGCAGAGGCCAAGCTGACTCGGAAAGGCCAACTTGGCTGCAGTGAAAATAAGAGGGAATGCTGTGGCATAAGCCTCAGGATGATTTTTTTCAGGTCTAGAAGAGTTATCACTCTAGCATTGTAGAGGTAAATGTCGGGTGCTTGAGTAAAGACAATCTCACAAGTTTTAGTAGTTCAAGTCCTAACAGATGGGAATAGGGCCATTACCTAAAACCATGAGCTTCAAAAATGCCATTTTAGGGCCATGTGTGGAAGTGGCATGTTCAGTGCAGGACATTTCACTAAACTTGCTTCAAATGTTACTATTCACACCAGAGAGTCTGCTCTGTTTCCTGGTGCTAAAGATTACAGTTGTTTCAGAAATCTGCCAAAAGCTCAGTTTAGATACAGATTTCTAACTAAAAACAGACCATTTCCTCATGTAGGAAATTCACAAGCTGCTATTGAGGTGAGCCCCTTAAGAAGTTGCAACTGAGCAATTCTACCCTACCTTTGTTTTCTCTTCAGTCAGAAGCACTGGAAATCCCAACAGAGATAAAGTCATCCCCACTCTTACAAATTAGTTGAAATTTAATTTTTCCAAAATTTAAGTTCAAGCACTAGTCAGGGTTTTTACTGACCTCAGTGTTTCACTGCAGTTCCTGATTTTCAGGCACTGTGCTACTTTACTATGTTTTCCTTTTCAGCATTGAGCAATAGAAAAAATACACTGAAACAGTTCAGTTGCAAAAACTTTGAATCGCATTTGTTAAATGCAAATGATGGACAACTCTAGAGTGAGATAAATTCAGACTCAGATGTAATGGTTAGAGAAGTATTTTCTGAAGATAAAGGAAATTAGTATGAACATACACACCGCATTCGCTACTGTTGCTATAATTATGTGTCTAGTTCGAACTTTAAAATATGAATTTCTAGCATTTGATCTACTTACTTTGTCATCCATTTTAAGAATGCTTGAAAGATTTAAAAAAAGTCATGTTATTAAAACAATATTCAAGCAGAAAATTAAAGAGCACATCAGTCTAGATATGTGAGTAGCTATGTTTAAGCAATAATGAAAGATATTTCAAACAAGTTTACTTCAAAAATATTGCTTCAGTCTCAGTAAGTATATTAATCAGCTTCACTCCTTTAACAATTTTAGAGGGGAAAGGTTAACGACTATCAAACAAAAATAAAAACACCTTCCTGTACTGTCAGAAGTACACATTTTCCCTGCATAAACCCTTCACAATTTCTGGTGTCTGTGGAAGTGTTTGCTCCTTTTCCATATATATTTCATTTTTTATACTTCTGCTTTCAGCACTTTTGAGTGAAATGGTACTGCCTAGGTAGTAACAGCCCAGGTACTGTCCAGGTAGTTTCTGCTAGCAAATACATTTCTCTGACCAGCGTCAGGTCCGGCAAGTTTGCACAAACCATGTATTTAATAGCCAGGTGATTTCTGCCCTGAGATTTTCCACAAGGGAAAATTTCAGCAGCCACAGATAGCATTAAAAACTTAAACCACTGCAATTCCTTCTAATCTTCTACTTACAGTCTAACTGTATTCACTGAATTATTGGTGTACATTCAACCTTGAGTTAAATAATCCTGATTTAAACAATTAAGTATACAGCTACAGATTCACAGCTGTGTGCTGATGTGCCCTGCTAAACTGTACTACATGAAGCATTTGCTATACACACATCAAATTCCAATGGACATATGGCTTTTAAGAAATCTTGAAGATACTAATTTGAGAGCAACAGATTATAGATTAAGTAGGGCTCTCTAGCAGAAGGCTGGTGCGGGGGAGCAAGAGGGAGTACTGGCCAGGCTAGCTCCTTTTGCCAAATGTCGCAACTTGCACAGCTGTGTAGACATTTCAAAAGCTACCCAACGAAGCTGTATAGTGGAAATGCTACCCCAAATGCTGTTGGTTTGGCACAGTGGTGGTCTGCATTTTTAACACAGTTCTTGAAGGGTAGCATTAAAACAAGGCTTCCCTATAAATTATTCAGAGAAACACTTCAAGATAGAGGGAGATGAATTGGGTAAAACTAAACAGGAGTCATCAGCAACCCTAAACCTCTTAAAGCTTTCCCTGTCTGAACTAATCTCTGAAAGTTGTCAGTGAATTCAAATGCAGTGAAGATAACTGACAGGTATGCCACAGAGAAATTAGAGCAGGATAACAAAAAGTCTTTGACAAATTCCTGTAATCTAGACACAGAACTGCTACCAGAGGTTATCCAGTGACAGAAAGCTCAGGTTTGGGCAAAAACGCCAATACACAGCAAAACACCTTCTAAAGTTCATAACATGCAGCAGATTTTTTTTTTTTTTTTTTTTTTTAAAGTGATATCTGGTCTTAATGCTTGCTATCTAGCTTGTAGTTTTGGCTTGTACTGAATGGTACTGAACTAAACATCCCAGATGCATAAAAACAAGACCATATAGGAAGCTCTCATCCAGAGACCAGGGATTAAGTTTTAAAAAGACACTATAATCTGGGTGCAGAAAGATTATTTTAGATCAGAGATCAGAGTTAGCACAGGAAAAGGTTAGTCAATCATTAATACAGAAAAGAACCACTAGCACTACCCAGTACAAGAATGAGTTAGGTTTAAGGCTGGTCACAGTTTTTTTGAGTTGTAGGACTGAGTCACTGTTGCTGACAAGCTAGCAAAACCAATTAAATAGTGAGTAAAGCAATCAAGAGGGTAACAGATTGGAAAAGTGGGGGAAGAAAGGCTTTTTAAATCGAGACAAGCATCTTTCCAGTTTTCTGAAAATAATGTAGGTAGCCTGTATCTTGGGAAAGTGGGTTTTTTTGTAGTTTTGGGTTCTGGTGGGGGTTTTGCTTGTTTGTTTTTGTTGTTTAAGTAGGGGCAATACATTCTAGAAAAACTGAAAACAGTTTGACAGCTTTTTAAAAAGTAATCACTTTAAAAAACCAAAGAAAACCGTTCTCTGAAATGCCAGCAAAGAACATTACTTCAAACACCAAATAATTCCTACTGAAGAACACATGACATACTCCTTCAAAAACCTGGTGCCTTTGTCAAATTACTAGTCCATTTGTGTAACATCAACACCACAAGTTGATACAGCCTTATAAAGGCATATTAAAAGCGAGAAGTGCTTCCAGTGAAATGCAAACCACAAACGTGGAAGTTGCCAGTCACAAGAGGAAGCAATGCACAGTGCATGCAGAGGAATGAAAGTAGGACAAAGCATCTGCCTTCTCAGAATGGAATTCAAAGCAGATTGGAAAAATGGCTAACTTGCCATGAGTTGAAAATAAAATTTGTACCGTCCATGCTTCCCAGCATGAACAGCATTTATTTAGTTACTCTCTGACTGGGTCCAAAAATTTTGCAATGGGAAGCCAGATAATTGCCTGTGAAGAATAATTAAATGAACCACTAGCAAGCTTAGAGCTAAGGACTGGCCAAAAAAAAAAAAAAGTTTCCAGTTTGACTTTCCTTACTTTTTTTTGGCTCCCTTACCAGCTAACAAGGCTAGAACGTTTTAAAATAAAGTGAAGAAAATTGGAGAATATATTTTAGGGAGTAACATGCTCTCCAGAAATCACTCCTGCTCTCCAGAGAGTACAAGCTACTACTTTTGCTCCTTTGTTTGCCAGACAGATCTAGCAGAATGGTGACTGGAAGAGAAGAAAATGAG